GTGAGGAATCGAGAGAGGCATAGAATAACGACTATTACCTTCGTTAAGAGTCGTTACTAGTTGATATAATTATCCTCCTATACGACTCGTAGTAATAGAAGGACATGGGGCGGAAGCTAAGGTAGCATTAGAGGGGGCCATATAGAATCTAGTCCGTGTTTAATTATACTTATAAGCTCGCGGAGCTTAATAGAGCCATACTTAGAGGGACGTTTCCTAGCCATAGGTTAAAGAAATATTTTATGAGAAATATAAGTAACGAGAGTCATGACGAGCTCTCGCGACTACTAATTAGAAGAATTACCGAGGAAAATAAGGAGAGTAGCGATAAGGAAAACTATTATAAATAACTTACGGAACACCTCGACGACGCCACACGAACCCGGGTGGAAGTGGTGATTCCTACTCCGCAAGGCTTTAATAGAGAGAAATATTTACGTTTCCCTAGAATCGATATCTCCTTCTAGGGGATAGAAGTTTTTTTAAGGAGGGAAGGAATGCTTGTAAAAGTAGTCTTATAACGATGAACTCTATTATCGAAAGAGGATGATAAACCCTATCATTACTATAAAATAATAAAACCCATTATTAAAGTAAGCAATGCTCGAAAGAAGACATAATGGCGTTTACGCGAAATTCCACCTACCACATATTAAAACCGGTCGTGTAATCGAAGCCTACCTATCGAAGGCCTATTTCGTTACTATAGAACGGGCCCTATTAGGAACTAATAAGGAAGAAAAGAAGAAGAAGGTATAAGAGAAAAAGATACTTATAGGAAGTCTTATAAGGATGAGAATATACCCGGTATCTATTCATTTATAGATTCCGCTATATACCCGGTAGACACATTTATTCATAGATTTCCTATATACCTAGTATATATTCATTCATAGATTCGACACGTATACGGGCCTACGGCCGTTGGCAAGGATCATTTATAAAAATTACTATATACCCGGCATTCGAGGAGGCATAAAAAAGAGAACTCAAGATAGTATATAACTCTTCCCTCTTACACCTCTCCATATCTCCTTAATTAATAAAACCTCCTCCTCCACTTCCGCCTCGCTTAAACTACCTCTTCTTAGAATGTAACTCGCCGATAGAACTAATAATAATAATGGCCCCGCCGAAGAAGAAAACGCCTACCCGTGAAGAGTTATAAGATCGTTAAGCACTAATAAGATAGACGCGGTCCTAGTTAAGAGTCGTAAGTGCTAAAGCAGGGCCATCGACGGCTATCGTAGTATTAAGGCCATCTACTACTCCGCACGGATAGGCTATAGAAGCTATAGAAATAAATAAGTCTACTATTAACCGAATTATCGCCATCTAGGACCCGCAAGAGCGATAGGACTATATTCTAGACACGTTTAATAATCTCCTTCACATTACCAGCCTCATAGAATAGCTCTTAAGTAGTATAGTTAACCTCTTCTAGGAAGTAGGAGCCGTAATAGGGTATAGTAAGGTAAAGATTAACTCCTCTATTCCGAAAGAAGTCCACGAGATGATTCGTCGTAGAAGAGACACTAACTTCTATATCCTAAAAGCCAAAAATACGATCCTATAAAACTAGCGAAAAGACCTCTCTAATAATAACGGCTAGTCACTCTAATCCGCCCTCGGATAGCTCTAGTAAACATAGAACTTTATAGAAAAGCTAGTAGCGCTCTCACGAGTGCGAACATGGGCGAGAGTAAGGAACTAGTTAAACGCATCCCTATGGTCCCGAATCGGCCAGGGATAGAAGGGAAGGGGAATTAAGGCATATCTTTAGAGCTCTAATATTAATGCCGCCCTAGCCAGCGATAGTAACGAGGACGGCCTATCTCTCTAGTAACTCTTAAACTACCCTAGCCGATAAAATAAACTAACGTTCTATAATAAGACGGGACTTATTATCCCCGCTAGTTAATAGTCACGGATAAGTAGAATGGTTTATAGGCCCGTTAAACACTACCTATAAATCAAAGAGATAAGTGTATCGCCTCCGCCTTAGACCTTACCGTCGCTAAAACCAGCGTAGGTAACGCCTATAGTAAAGTCCCCTCCACGAAGCACGCCTTCTAGTTTAGTAGCACGTCGTCTCTTCGAAGCTAGTCGTCCGTTTAAAGTAAGTATTCCTCCTACTACTACTAGTAAACGTCTCTTACCGGGCCATGTAAGAACGTCTTTAGTACCCGTCACGGCCATACCGATAAAACCCACTCGCGGACGTGCCTTATCTACCGGCCCTTAGCAATTACTAGGGGCGCCTATATAATAATCCCTAGTTATTCTTAGTTCGTACCCTAAGACGATAGCATTAGTCGAGGAAGAGGACGAGCCTAAGAAGTATTAATACGCGCCTTTAGTGACGAAGACTTTTAAGGTAGCTACATTATTAAAGAAGAATTTCACGAGCATTAAGGGAATAGCCCTACTAGTACGCTAGAAAGCGTAGATAGGTAACATGGCTATTCCGTATAAAGTCTACTACAAGCATTACTAAGACGTAGCTAGAAAGAATAATATACTCGTTAGCGTATCCCACTTAAACCTAGTAGCAAGACTTAAAATAGTATATAAGTTTAGAGATAACGTGGGGGCCCTTAAAGTTTATAAGGACCGCTATACCTGGTTCACGAAGTACGCGCGGCCACCTTATCCGATAGAGGCATTAGGTGTCTATCATTACTAGGCCCTAGAGACCCCGAAGTAAGTTATTAATATTAAAACCATCCTTACTAGTATCGCATTTATAATTTAGAAGGAGGATAGTAGGATAGGCAGGTAATTCTTCGACGAGTGGGAACGTACCGGAAGTGTTAATATTAAAGGGCTCTTCGAGCCACTTAAAAAGACGACCTCCATACTTAATAAGAGTATTCTAGAGCTCGCGAGGGATGAATTTAATATATATAAGTACCACTAGTGCATGTTTAATAAGAAATCGAACTACGGCTAGCTACGAACTATATACCACTCCTATATCTAATAGTTTATTAGGTAATGCCTACTTTACTAGCTTACCTATGTCGCTCTTCGGCCCGATCTTAACTACTATCTAATCTCGTACCCGTACTATGCGAAGTCCTAGGATAGGGACGATAAGACGGGTTTTAAGCATCTCGATAACGCCATTAATCGAATCCTTAATCCTAGCGATAGACACGGGTTTAATATAATCTAGGGGAGTATTAGTCTTGACGACGAACGAAGTGACGACTATACTATAATCATTCCCCGCTCCTATAAGTTCTTAAACGAATGGTAGTTAAAGGCTAAGCTCCACGAGGGGGTCAATCGAAATAGTATAATCACGGCTATTAACGACAAGATCTATAATACGGACGATAGGAAACGATTTAGTCCCTTCGTCCCGGTCCCCTACTAGTCCCTTAAAGTACGTATCTCTAGCCTACTAATAATACACGGCGCCTAGGGTCCCGTAAAGGGTGGAAGACGCACGATGCTTCTATGGTATGTCGCGATTAGCCCTAATTACATGACAATGGAAGTGCCTAAAATAGGCACATGGGAATAACTCGCAGCAGCTTATAGGAATTTAACTCCGGGACCCACGTCTCCGTCGGGATTTTCTAATAAATATAGCGCGATTCCTTTTGCCTTCCTAGCCGTAGTTTAACTCCCGAGTTTTAACGCCGTTAGTAATGTATTAGTCGGCCGTAAAAGATAGAATAGCTAGAAGGTAAAAGAAGAGGCAGCTGCGTGGCTTAACGCAAGTCCTTAATAACTTAAAGCCAAGGTAGACGCCTGGTTTAAGAAGGGCTCGAGGGTATTCGTGGAGACCTTTAAGAAAATAGTAAGGTAGGAAAGGCTAGTCTATAGGGATAGGTCGTTCTAGAAGGAATTTAACGAGGCGCGCGCCGCTAAGCGGCTAATTAATTTTAAGAAATTCGAGCCCGACGCGGGCCTAGATAATATTAAAGAGAACTTCTACGGATAAGAGAGGCCTAATAAACTATCCGACGAGGAGGAATCTAACCTCTCTAAGATAAGCGACACGATTCTTTAGGAGCTGGCTCGCGACCTCGAGTACTAAGATTAGGCGCCTGAAAACCTACCTAATTATTAGTTAAGGGCTGCCCTTAACTAATAATCCGGGCTAAGGTTTACCCGCGCCGAGAGGTTTACTAGGGGCGCATTTTATTCGTATTAAGGTCTTTCTTTTAGGCGTTCTTCACACGGTTTCTTACACGGTTACTATACTACTAAGGGCAGTAGTTCTATAGGCCGGGGAGGTATATATGGAAGGCCGCTCCTACAGCCCTATATATATGTGTCCCTGGCTCGATTACATGGCTTATTATATATTTAAGGAGGGCGTTTTCCTTGGTCATTCTACTCGGCACGCTTCCCCCATCACGAATATTCGATGATTCGACCTTTCCTTATGTTTATAGGCCTCTATAGGTATTGATTATTAGGCTTAGCTATTAATAAATTGATTAAGAGTATTATATAGACCCGTCCTATCGTAAAAGAGAACTAATAAGAAGTCGTGCGTTCAAAGAGAACTCATAATACCTAGGAGAGATACTTGTGAGTTCGTCGCGACTACTATACTAAGAACACAGCCATTTATAAAAAGGGACATACGTGGCGATAGCTTATCACAATATATTATAAGAGTATATTTTAGGTATATAAACTAGATACTAAGTAGCTATATTAATAGTATTAACGCGTAGTAGTAGATATAATAATTATAAGTTAAGATAGTAAATACTTTAAAAATATAAGGCTTAGAATAATAGCTAGAATAGACTAGATATAGAGAGACTAGTATAGGTTACTATTAGCTAATAGACTATCCTTAGTAGATAGCCCCCTAAACTTAATATCTAAAAATACTACTCTATATATATTATATATAACTTTAGTTTAACTTAACTATTAGTAACTTAATTCTACCCTAGAATTAAATTAGACTAAAGATCTAACCCTTAGTAAGAGGCCTTAGTTGAACTAGACTAAGTCAATTCTAGAGAGGCAGAATTGAAGTTGGACTGATTGATAGGAACTCTGGGTAGACTCCTTCATTTCTTCCGTCCGTAGTCGATTCCATATCTGGAATAGCAAACTCTGCGGCGAGATAGTTTCTCCAGCTAGTATTGCTTCCAGGTCTGCAAGAATGATCCTCCAGGAAACAAGGTCAACAACGAGATGGTGCGTAATGAGTAGTAAGTAGAGCTCCGCCCCAGTGCCCACTTAGTAAAGATCGGCAGAGAACACAAGGCCACGGTTTACAAGAAGCTGCTGCTGCCGTAAAGCCGCGAAAGGCGCAAGATCGGCATATGACTCCAACATCGACGTTTCGAACCGATGGTTTGAGGCACTTGGTTGCGGAATGATTTGCATCCGTTTGGAATCAGTTTCCTTATAGAAACATGCACGGAGCATGGAATGCGTTTCCACAATTTTCGCGATAGTAGCACGTATGGTCCCGACAGAGACTGCTTTGTTCATACGAAGATAAAAAGACTGGTTGCAACGGTAACCGGATTCGTCAATTGAGTGTTGACCGAGCTGGTTGAAGAACCATTGCTGCATTGAAGACGGAGCAAATGGTGCGTTAAAATCTTCGCTAAAGGTGGCTGCCGAGTCCGTAGCCACGGGAGACTTCAGTGCGACCTCGACCAAGGACTTGCTTTTTAGTAAGTTTGCGACAGTGACATTAATGTCTGCGGAACATTGGGCACTCAGCCGCATCGCTGAAATAGAGTCACCTCCATTAGCTACAAACGATCGTGCAAGGTTGATATCGGAGGCCGAGACGTTGAGGACAACAGAGCATGCGTGTTTAAGGAGTCTCTCTGCTTCGGTGACTGGATGCCGCAGAACAGCATTGCGATCAATATCGGTCACAAGGTTATACGTCTGCGGATCCATTCTGGATATCCAGTAATCTAGCTGTCTGCGACTGGTCTTCCCAGATGAATCAAGAGGAATGCCCTTAAGCACAATCCAGATAGTCGGGATCATGTAAGAAGGTAAAATATTCCCGAGATAGCCCTCTAGCTCCACTAGATCATCTTTCACACTAGTCGTGAGCCGCTCTAGACTTATCTTATCATGCGGTGTTGTTGGTGAGTCGGAGTCTATAAAAGTGATACTAGTAGCCAGGGTCGATGAGGCGGAGGCACTGAAAGCATTTTTTACGACTATTGAATCTACTTCGTTGGTATATCTAACACTAATCAGGCCCACCAACCTATTGGCGCAAAGACTAGTCTTGGGTAGTAAGCATGCGGATTGTCGGACTTGACGAAATTGTGCAATATGGTTTTCAATATCGCCAAGCTCGACACGTTGGCCGTGAATTTTTACCTGCGCGTCCTTTCGACCAATGAACGTAAGTGATCCGTCCTTATTATAAGTAACCAAATCGCCCGTTCTATATAGACGGCCTTTTCGGCCAGTGCGATCTAACGCACTATGAAGCAGCTAAGGGGGGTCCTCGATAAATGCGGAGAAGATGCTAGTGGGGGAATTAAGATACCCGGATCCTACCAAAGGCCCTTCGAGTACCAATTCGCCGATGCTACGTATTGGCACAAGCGATTGACCTGAGGCCGAGTCCACAATCCACGTGTTGACGCCGAGACCTATCCTGATTGTCGTCATGTCGCCGCCTGGACGAATGTCTGCCACAGTCGCGGTTGGTGTACATTCGCAAGGACCATACGAGTTCTTTAGCGTGACCAGCGAAGCCCACACCTTGGCTTGCTCTTCAGACAAGCGCTCACCACCAAGGATAAGGGTGTCAAGAGATTGTATAGTCTTCTGCGGCAAAAGCGAGGCCGTAGAAGAGGTTAATTTAACGTGCGTCACACGGAAGCGACGGAGAGACCCGGCTGTTATCTGATCAGCAGAGCTCATGCACAAGAATGTTAACGCAGATATATAGCATCTTCGAATGTCCTCAAGAGCTTACCTAGGTCGTCACGCCGTTCTGCATCTGTGGGGATACATAAACAAGCCCCGCACTCCAAGGCCCCAAGCACATTTGACCAGGACACATCAAATGCATATGATGCAAAATCATAGATGCGCGCGCCCGGTCCGAGGTTATGAGCACCATTTTGGTATCGTAGGGCACTGCTGAAATTTGAATGGCTGATTCTAACTCCCTTTGGCGTGCCAGTGCTGCCGGAAGTGAAGACAATGTAAAGCGTCTGAGACGGTTGCACTTCTAGAAGAAGTTGCAATGTCTGCTTATCAAACAACGGTCGGAGTGTGTCGTTGACAACGATGACCGCCTTCTCCTCGTATAATCGACTAGAAAGGTGCCTGTTGGTAAATGAAGACAGAATGATCGATGGCTCGATCTGCTGTACAATCTTGTACAGGCGATCTTGTGGGAGGGCGGGATCCAATGTCACGCAAGTGCCACCTGCTTTCATCACAGCGAGTATCGCAATAGGCGTCCACTTCGACTTCTCAAAGCATAGAGGAACAACAGTCTCGCAGCCGACTCCGAGATGCACCTAGAAGCATGAGGGTATTAGTGATATTGATGTCTGGATGCAAGATGCACTGGAACCCTGAGGTACAAAGTGTAGTAATGACTTACCAGATGATGCGCCAGGCGAGTAGACATATCGTGCACTTCCGTATACGTCCACATACCGTCCCAAGCGTGGATCGCTGTAGCATGACGTTGTTTTCGACATGTATCAGCGATGAGATCGTGGACTAGAGCCTCTATTGTTGTCGGCACCTTTGCATTCCAGGTCCAAATAATATCGAGCTCCATCTTGCTGATCACCTCAATCTCCGCGATTCGTTTTGTGCTGTTTGAAGAGTCGCACAACTGGCGCAAAATGTGCTTAAACTGGTCTGCCATGTTTGAAACACGGCTGCTGCCGATGACTTCGTCGTCATACTCAAATCTAAGCTTTAGACTATGCTCCTCCAATTCACACTCTACTATTAAGGCGTAAGATGCGAAGTCTTTAGAGGTAATTTCTTCCGCATCGTCGTTATCGTGAGCAACAAATAACAAGCTCGCTGGATCCTTTGTCTCCTCGAGAGGATTGATAAGTAGTAACAATTGGAAGTTGCATGCCTGCCTGCATTCATTGTTGATTCTTGAAATGTTCTATAGACCCTTTTGTTCGTATAGAATCATTTCAGTCATCTCTCTTTAGACCTAATTATTATAAGAGAAACGTAGACGTAATTAAGGTCATTAAATATATTCTATAAGTTACATAGAGAACTAAGTTCTAGAGGACAGAGTCGAAGCTATTCAACCGTTTAGATACTAGTCCCGTTTAGAAAGTAGTATCTCTTACTTAAAGTACCTTCTAATAACACTCCCCTATACTAAGTATATATATATATATATTTAGTAATATTAGAATAAAGGAAAGCTTAAAGTAAGTAATAGTAAGAGATAGTACTAAAGAATAAAGGAAAGAGGGGTACTAGAGAAATAACTCTACTATAAACTAATTATTACCTTTATTTAATCTAGTAGTAGTAGAGGTAGTTCTTTTATTTCTATATTAGTAATATTATTATAACTTATAATATACTAGATAGATATAACTCTATTAGTAAATAATTTATAGACTATATAATAATATATAGCTATATATTTAGACTATACTATAATTTATTAGTTTTAGATAAGAGCTATAATAGCTTAATTATCTATAAGAAGATAGAGAACTAGAATATTATAACTTATAAAGATCTCTTTTATATCTAGTAGGGCCTACTATAAGTAACTTATAGTCTTTAAGTAGACTATATACTCTACTTTATAGATCGACTTAGTAATATATAATTATCTTTTACTATTCTAGGCTATAGAGCTTCTATTTAATTAAAATATATATATAGAGATAGACTTTATAGTATTAGGGTCTAAACCCTAGGAAGTATCTAAGAATATATTAATTTCTATAGTATCTTTTAACTTCTTTAGTATAAGGTATTAATTAATAGTCTACTTAAGATAGTATAATATACTAAAGGTAATCTATATATATTATACTAACGGATTTATATTAAATATAGTATATATATCTACTATAAAAGTAAGATCTAGATACGTACTAGTAGTAAGGTAATTAAGTAACCCAATTAATTATATATATATAAGCTACTATTCTTAATTAATAATTTCTTCTAATTATATTAGAAAGGTATTTATATTAACTAGAGTCTTTCTACTATTATAGTCTATTATACTAAACCTCTTTAGAATATATTAAGAGTAAGCCCTCTAAGAGAGCTTAATTTTACCTTCTTATAATTAATTAATTTTAATACCTAGAATTAGGCGAGCTTCTCTAAGGTCCTTATATTTTATATAATTTATAACCTTATATTTAAATTATTATATATATAAGCTCTCCTCTATAAGTAGAAGGTTATTAATATATATAGTAATAATAATATATCTAATAAAGATATATAGATTAAACTATAACTATTAAAATTAAAGAGACTAGAGAAGGTTATATAAGGTATAAAACCATTTCTAACTAGACTATTTTAATCTATAAATTACCTTTTATAGCTTAAGAATCTTACCTAGCTTTTCGAAGCCTAGTAGGTATCTTATATAGTTATTTTTAGATAGACTACTATTTAGATAGATAGTATTAAAGTTAATCTAGTAAATATACTTATTAAATTATATAGTCTATTAGAGTATAATATAGAGAGAATTATACTTAATAATAGATATAAAAGTTTTATTATAATTAAGACCGTGTTTCTATATAAAGCTCTATATAATAAGGTATATCTTATAAACTTTAGTATTATCTATAGTAGTCTTAATATTAAATACCTATCTAGAACTAACTATTATAGAGATATTTATAGTAAGTAGAGCTTCTTACTATAATTAGTTAATCTTATAACTTCTTAGCTCTCTCTTAATAGCTATTTACTACTAATACTAGTTAGAAGAATTTCTAGTCTCTTTTAGATTTAAAGGAATATCTATATTTAAGATAGTATTAACTAATAGAGTATAGATTATTTCCTTCTCTTCTATATCTATAAAATTTATAGAGTTATTAAAATAAATTATATATTTATATTTCTTTCTAAAATAAGATATATTAGAAGATAATCTTAATAGATATAGATTTTTATAAGGTAGGTTATAGCTAGAGAAAGATTTAAATTTTAGTTAATTAGCTCTAGGTATAGTAGAAGGCATCCTACTATAAGAAAGGGTAGATAATCTTTATTAGAGTATCTAAGTAAGACTTATTATATTATCTATATAGGGCTAGAGGTCCTATATATTTTAGACTACGACTAGTATATTATAAGACTAGGGTGGCCTACGACCGGCAGACTGCGTACAGTCCTAATTTAAGGCACTAAGGCACTAAGGCACGCCGGAAAATCCACGGCTAAGACATGCGAATTTTCAACTCTCAAACCTGCCACCAAACGCGACACTAGAGACTTATAAACCTATCTCGTCCGTGAGTATAGCCCTATAGAGGGTAAAAAGTATATGAAAATACTCGTCGTAGGCAGGGCTATAAAACTAGGGACTAGATTTTTAAATTAGGCCCTAGTTAATTTAATATGTGGCAAAAGGTGGTTTTTTATCGTGGTTTTAGTAAGGGCGCTAGCGGGCGCTAGACAAAACATTATATCTTTTTATAATTCCTTTGGAATACTTCTCTATTATCCGACTCTTCTTTAGAGCTATCTCTTTCTATAATAATTAAGGAAAGAGATTACTATAGAAGTAGTCTTAGATTAAAGGGTATAAAAGTAATATCTTATAACTTAATAATAACCTTATAGTTAGGAATATAGTACTTATAGATTTTATCTAACTTACTATAGCTAACTAGAATACCCTTCTCTAATCTATAAAGAAGCTTACTATCTAGCTTTTATACTTCTTTTAGAATATATATATAGTAGATAACTCTAAATAGATATAAGTTTTAGATAGAAGGCTTCTTACTAAAGAGAGTATAATATAGTATATTAACTATTAGAAGAGAGGTATATAGTATAATATTCTTAATAAACGTTATTATATAAATTACTTTAGCCTAGAATTTTAACTTAGTATTAGAAGAGAGAATAGATTTTACTAATATTTAAACTATATAGTTAAACCTTTTAGCTATTTCGTTTAACTTATAAGAGTAGATAGAAGAGATAATATATATAGTATCTATCTTATAAAAGAAGTCTTAAAGACTTTTAGTAATATATTTACTATCTTAGTTAGATATAAATTCTTTAATAGCTATATTAAACTACTTCTTAATATATATAAAGGATTATATAATAACTTTAGAAGCTTTAGACTTATACTTTATAAAATAGATCTATATAAAATAAGTTAATTCTTTAATAGAGGAGATATAGTACTATAATCTGTTTAGAGACTTATATAGTATTTTACTAGAGAGATTATTATAAACTCTACTAAACTATATCTTATATTACCTATTTAAGCTTAAAGACTTCTTATATATAGATTTAGATATACTATAACTCTTATAGTAGAAGTTACTTAGCTACTTAGAAATTATATTAAAATCTTTATAAAGTCTTTTAGAATTTATAATATAATAATAATCTATAGTATAATAGAATTCTTTATATAATATAAAATATACTATAGTATATAATAGAAGCGGAGAAGATATATAGCGTAGATGAATCTTTATAAGGCCCTTATAGAATTTTACCTATATTACTTTAGATTTATAGTAGTTATATAAGAAGAGATTATTCTCTTTTACTCTTAAACTATACCCTTAATTTCTAATATAGAACTAGAAGAAAAGATATATAGAATTTAGTTACTTACTAAAGAGAATATTAGTAAGTTTAATCTTTTTTATAGAACTATCTAAGAGAATATAATCTAGGAAAACTATTCTAATACTATTAATAGAAATCTTCTAATAATTTATAATTAATATATTACTAGAGGTACGCGGCTCTAGTAAGGTAAAGTTATCTATATAATCTAATATATACTATAATATACCTAAATTAAAGATCTAGTTATATATATCTATAATTATATTAGAATTTATAAGAAGTCTAATAGCCTTAATACTTAGATCTAAAAATATTACTAAAATAAGAGACTAACTTACTACTTAAGATCGCTTACTATTTATATTATCTATAGTTATAAAGAAACTAACGACGTTATTATTAGAGTTAGAGTTAGATTTAGAATCTAAAATTTTAATAACTTTAGCTTTATTAGCCTTTTACTACTTACTTAAGAAGTTCTTTTTAGAAGAAAACTTCTTATCTAACTTACTTTTAGACTTATTATTATCTTTAGAAGTCTTAAGCTTATAGTAGTTCTAATACTTATAGCCTTTAGAATAGAAGCTACGTTTCTTATACTAGATATATTTAATATTAGAGATAGAAGTAGAGATAGAGAAGGAGTTAGACTTCTTTAACTTAGAAGACTAACTAGACTTACCCTTATAGCTTATCTTATAGCTAGTAGTATTAGATTTAATACTATATTTCTTAGCTAGGTTAAGTATCTTTAGCTTAATATCTTAAAATTATAATATATCTTAAGTTAATAAATTATTAATAATATAGTCTATAGTATTAGATTAGGAGATAAGAAAGAATAAGCCCTTAACCTCTTTAGACTTAAAGATTAGATATATTACTTTTATAACTATATAAGATAAAGTAGTATATCTTTTTACTATTTATATCTAGATATAATAGAAATTATTAATATACTTATAGATATCTTCTCTATCTTTATAGTAGAGATTAGTAAGTAATCTAAATAAATATATTAAGAAGTTATCTATATTATAATTAAATTATAATAATAGATATATCTAGATAGTAGCTACTATATTATAGAATATAAGACCTATAATAAGATCTTAGTATATTAACGAAAGTAATATAATTATTACTTTATTATTCTTTATATTCTAATCTATTATATCTATATATAGATCTATAACTTCTATACTAAAAGGTCTAATAGCTCTACTAGAAACTTCTATCTATAATTATATATACTTAAATACTATAGTCTATACTAATCTCTATTTAGGAAAATTCTCTTCTCTTAAAGATAGCTTAGAGAGAGAGAAAGAATCGAGTTTAAAGTTAATAGATATAATAATTATTATTAATAAATTTCTTAAGTTCCTTCTCTTTCTTTATATAGAACTAATAGTTTTCTAGCTCTAACTCTTTCTTCTTTATTACTTATTTATAAGGAAGATAGTAAGAGTAAAAGAGATAGAAGAATAGTATAGATAGTAGAGGTTAATTATAGATAGAAGGAGTTAATAAAATAGAAGTAGATTAATAAAGTTAATAAAAAACTAAGGTTTTAGAAGTAAGGTTAATTTTTATTAAAATAAGAAGGTTTTTATTAATAATAAGATAGTATTAAGCTTTTATAGTAAAATACCGGGCTTATAACCTATTATAAGAGAAATATAGACGTGATTAAGGTTATTAAATATATTCTATAAGTTATATAGAGAACTAAGTTCTAGGAGATAGAGTCGAAGCTATTTAACCGTTTAGACACTAGTCCCGTTTAGGAAGCAGTGTCTCTCACTCAAAGTACCTTCCGACAACACTAATCCAGGTATACTTTAACGGACTAGTCCCAGTCAAAGATCATTCGTACGGGCAGAGTTTCGAGAGTGGGACCTGTCATCTCATTAATCTAATGAACTACTGCCTAGCGACCACTCATCGTTACGCCGAAGACCACGTCACTCGAGTTCGTGAGGCGAGCTGTGAGTATCGCCCACGAGGAGCGGATTGCTGTAGCAGCGGTGATACTCGACCGAGACCATGTGATATCTTGGAGATGATGAATGACATACGACTCCGCTCTTGGTTCATACATTGCTGAAGGTAATGGTGGAAACAACTGCGCTTCTAATCCAGCAAATCTTGCTTGCCAGAAGCTGTTAGAATCTTCCTTTTCGAGGCTAAGAATGTGTTTGACGAAGCGGTTAAAGGCAGGAGCAGGCTGCAGAGCAGAAGTATCGTGGTAAGCCTAATTTAGCCTGTCCATGATGAGCCTCATTGATGATCCATCGTAGAGTGCGTGATGGATTGTCCATGCGAAGCGGTGTGTGTCGTTCTCGGAGATGATGGCGCATCGTACGAGTGGCTTGCCCAGACCAATTCCTTCGTTTTTGTGGACTTCTTGATACTCGCTAACACTAGTGTAATGAGACCGTTGAACATTGTCATCAATAATGACCTGTACAAGTCCCTGATCCGCAAGGTCCACGATCCTGGAACGCAGAGTTGGAGTCGTTCTCAGCACTTCCTCCCACGCGCGTTGAAATTGTGCGAGGTCAACTAAGGGTCGTAAGGGCAGGATATACTGAGCAGTATAGTCGCCAGATCTTTTTGCCGTGAGCGCTAGAAGACCTTCCTGCAGCGGAGTGCACGGAAAGATGTCTTGGATTTGAGCAAGGTCGACTTGACACAGTTTTGCGGTTTGTTCCAACAGCTTTACTGAATCTTTTGTGGTATTAAGCAGTGAGAATGGAGGTATCTCGTCCTCCTCGAGACCGGAGACCTGGCCTGTCGAATTTGCCATGTCCTGAAGTATCGGCCGCTTGAAGATGCTTTTGACGGTTAAATGAAGCCCTTCCTTACGAGCCAGGCCCACTAGTTTCATGGCTCTGATTGAATCTCCTCCGATTTCGAAGAAATTGTGATCTATTCTAATGGTGCCTGACGTCTTGACACTGAGCACTTGAGCCCAGAGGCTTCGCAATTGCTGCTCTGTATCTGTACAGGGCTGTTGGGGTCCGCTAGTACCAGAACTAAGTGACATAATCTGCTCGAATGTTAGATCTTTCCTAATTTCACGGAGCCGGCGACGATGAACTTTTCCCGTAGTCGTTATAGGCAACTCCTTCAGCATCAGGTAGGCAGATGGAATCATATGAACAGGGACCTGCGCCGCTAGTCTCCCATTCACACCGGCGAGGATGCTGGTACCCTGTCCAGTAAGGTCGCGCGCACTGTTGTCAGCGTGTCGCTCATTGACAACATGAACGAAGACTATGAGGATCGATGTATCGCTTTGGAATGGTGTGAGTATCTCAGCGAACACCTGGACTTGAATATCGGCAATGGTAATGCTGTTTCGAACATGATACTCGACGTCACCGAGCTCTACTCTCTGCCCATTGATCTTGACTTGAGCATTATTGCGACCAACGAAGGCCATGGTCCCATCAGGCTCATATCTTACTAGGTCCCCAGTCTTATACAATCGACCACAACGACCAGGGTGACCTGCAGCGCCAGATGAGGCGTCGTGCGGCATCCCACGGATAAGCCAAGGAGGATTTTCAATGAAAGCTTCCTGTGTTCTTGACGCATCTCCAAGGTAACCGGCCCCGATAAGAGGACCCTCTAGTAGAACCTCTCCAACAGCACCGATCGGTATAAGCTTGTCGTGGTTGGTAGGCTGCACGATCCAAGTGTTCAATCCGAATCCGCGTCCGATGTTGCCAACTTGTGCTTTATTCTCGCCGATTTTTGCCAAAGTTGCCTTGACACTGCATTTAGCAGGACCGTAGGTATTGAGAACAGTCGCTCGTTCAGCCCACTGAGCGCCAATATGTGTAGGCAGGACTTCACCACTGAACAATATGTGGTTTAGGCCAGGGAGGTCATCCGGCTGTATAGTGCTTGTGACAGAAGGTGTTAGATCGACAAATTTCGCTTTGTACTTCAAGAAGGAGCTGGCTAGATTGTCCATCGCTTCGGTTTCAGATGGGATGCACAGGCATCCACCACTAGTCATTATATGTAAGAAATTCGACCAAGTGACGTCGAAGGCATACTTGACGAAGTCGTACACCCGCGAAGTGCTCTTGAACCCCATGTAAGTCTGCTGATGTTGAATAGCACTGCTGAAGTTAGAGTGTGTGATGATGACACCTTTGGGCACTCCAGTACTACCAGATGTGAACACAATATACAGCTGATCCGAAGGGTCTACATCTGGCATCTCGACTGCCGGCTCTACCAGTTCGCTGAGATGCACATCGCTTATGACTACCATGGGCTTGTCCGTGAGCTGCTTGGACAGTTCAGTCTGCGCAACAGACACTAATACCAACAGAGGGTCCACCTGTTGTACGATACTGCGCAGACGCTCTCTGGGAAGAGTGCAGTCTATTGCTAATGACGCTGCACCTGCCTTCATCACCGCAAGCATCGATACTGGCATCCATTTTGACTTCTCAAAAAAGAGAGGGACAACGGCCTTAGGTCCCACACCAAGGCTGACCAGATTCCGAGCAAGTTTGTGGGCAACAGCTTCAAGCTCGCCGTAAGTGAGATCACCATCCCATGCGCATATGGCAGGCGCGCTCGGGTTCCGGCTGGCTAAATCTACAATAGCATGGTGTACCAACTTGTCGACAGTTTCTGGGACTACCTTGTTCCAGTTCCAGACATCTCGCAAATCATCTATACTAGCAGACTGTGCTGCCGTAAGTTTCGATAGGGTCCCGTGTGTGTCCATAGGAGGTCCAACAGTTTCAGTGGCTAGTGAGATGATAGTCGACTCTAAGAACGAAATAACTCGGCGTGCTTGCTCGGAGTCCATGCAAGCTTGACGATATTCTGCAGTCACGCGGATGGCCATTCTTGACTGATTGATGTTGATAGTGATATCGTATTCGGTTGGATCACGCCAATCAACTTCGATAAAATGTATCCCCTGGCGCACTGGATATTACTCATCCACGCAATCTTCATCTTTCTAGAAGGACATGATGGTATTAAACAGTGATGACAGCCTAAGCTCGTGTAGGATTCCTGCGACGGAGCAGTGCTGAAATGCTATATCTTCCATGACTTGCTTATAGACATAGTGCACCAAGCCCCTCTCATCCTGTTTGTCAAGGTCTGCACGGCAGATTATCATATTCGCATAGGCACCGATGGACTAATCGATGCCTTTAACAGGCAGTTGACGCCCAGAGGCCAGATATCCGAAACAGACACTGTTAGAAGCGACATAAGCTGATAGCACCAAAGCCTAGGCGCTTTGGAAGAAACTGGCCAGCGTAACGGCTTGCGATTTGCAAAACCGCTCAACAAGCTTGAGTGTTTCCGCACTGATTTCAAGGCATGTGACACCATTCGGCTGAGAGCTTGTAGCCGGTGTGCGGCCCCTAAGATGAGGAAATGCACAAGATTCCACATTCGATAGCTTTGCCTTCCAGTACGTCGTCCTCTCGATGCCTGAACAGGCTATCAAAGCCAACGCGAAATCTCGATTGACATCTCGAAGTTCCCGAACATCAAGACTTCCTGAATATACTTGCACCTAGTCCTTTATAGTGATAGTAGTCGAGGCGCCATCGCATATGGCATGACTAATTTCAACCTGGCATAGGATGTGCGGCTAACCGGAGATAGTACAGAGTGTGAGTCGATGCGGAGGTCGAGGTTGAGTATAGTCGACCCTCGGCAGATGCTTCATTGTATCGAGCGCTCCTTCGTAGCTCTCACTTTCCACAAGGAGGACGTTGCCACGATGCGAACATAGAACAACAGAGTTGAAGGCGCTTTTAGTGGTGTCCATGCTTTCAATGAAAACTGTTCGCAATGCTGAATGGCGTGCGATCAATACCTGCTAGGCGTCGACGAGCCTACTGATCTCTATGTGATTTGATTCGCGTGGTACGATCTACCAGGTCTAAGAAGTCTCGTACGACCCTGTACCTTTTGTTTAACTTAGTAGGATGCCATCGACTATCGGAAGGCATGGTAGGACGTCCTCAATGTGAGAGTCATTGACTAGCTCGAGGTGCGGTAAAGTTATATTCAGCAATTTGTCAAGCCCGCGATAATCAAGGCTCAGGAACTGAAAATCACATAAAGTGCGTGACGTAGTTCTTCCACGCAATTCATTGCAAAGAACTTGCAGTGATGGTACGATCTATGCGGTCCAAGCCAGAATCGAATCTTGATGGTCGATGTGACGGTTCCAAGCGAAACAAAACTTGGCCACCCCAGCCTCAATGACAACATTAATGTCAAATAGGACGGAAGTTGGCATGTGCGGACTTGCTGCGGAGACGGCGTCATCAAGATTTATGGAACTGAAGAGTGAGTTTGTTCGCTCGAGCTGTTGAAACTGGCCGAGATAGTTGAATTGGACCTCCATGGGAGAACTGTGTGGTTGGAAGGCTCTTATGCCATCGGGGTTCAAGAACCTTGAGACCCAGTATGCCAGTCCATTGGTCGGCAGGCTTCTTCGAGCGTCTTTGACTAGTCTTACTGTATGCAAGACGTTATCGTCTGTATTTCGATCCACATGTAAAGGACTGAGCGTTGTAAACCAGCCCACAGTTCGAGATAGATCGATAGCTACGTCCATTAGTGGTTCGCGGCCGTGCCCTTCGTTAAAGATGGTGAGCCCGGCCCGTTCAGGAAATGACTGGAAGAAAGCGTTCTACACCGTAGATAAAATGATGTCTATAGGTTTAGAATTAAACGCAGTGTTGGAATCCCTAAGTAGTAGTGATGTAGTGGTAAAATCCGCTTTAAAAGTCTTCATGATATGGTCGTGAGTATTGTTAGGAGTCTGCTCGTTGAAGTTCCAAAAATCTAGGTTATTATATACCTTGCTACGCGAGAGGACATTCTCCGGTGAAAATCTTAATGATCATGCTTCTTCGGCTTGCAGCTGCGTCCAAATCTGGAATGGAGTGCTGGGCATAAGTTCTTTGTCTAACAACAAGGTTTCCAGGTCGTCTAGTATAATCCGCCAGGAGACTAGGTTAACCACCAGATGATGGGCGACCAGAATGAGATATTGAACGTTTTCAGTGGTTAGGTGGTATACTGCTGCTGTAAAGACTAGGGCCCGCTTAAAGTTCAGGCTTCGATGGAGCTCTCTAGCATTCGATTTGATCTGATATAAGCTCTAAGCATCTATAAATTTAAAACTAACCATAGCTTCTTCTACCCGAAGAACGCTTTGCGTCCAGCCACCCTTAGATGCCGTGAAGCGTGCACGAAGCATGGAATGGTGTTGAACAAGTTTGCGCATAGCGATAGAGAGTCTGTCAGGAGACATAAAGCGACTTATCTTGACATAGAAGCCTTGGTTGTAGTAATGTCTTTCGTCGAGATGTTCCTCACGCGGCGCTTGATTAAAGAACCACCTCTGAATTAGCGCTAGATTGAATGCCTCGTTAAAAACTTCGGTATATCTCAAGAGAGGTATTGCGGCATCCATCGAGGCAGGTTCTGCCACAATCCTTAGGGACTTGCACTTCAGTAGGCTAGGGACTGAGAGTGTCAGGCCTAAAGTACGGCAGTAAGACGACAGACGCATTGCTGAAATTGAATCCCCGCCATTTGCAAACATATGAGCGCTCTATATCAATCTCGGCCGGCGATGAGTTCAGAATATCACTGCAGGCGTTGCGTAGGACAAGTTGTTTGCGTGTCTTAGGCCCGACAGTCGTGGAAGGATGACGCGTATTGTTAATTTCGGCAACACTTTGCGAGTCTAGATTAGATAACCAGTCTTCCAAGAGATGTCGATTGAGCTTTCCCGAAGCGGTGAGAGGCAGATCCTTGAGTGGTACCCAGATAGAAGGGACCATATATGGCGGCAAACGGTCTCCTAGCAGATCTTCCAGGTCCTGAATGTGCTGTGCAACATTCGGATCAGCCTCTGAATCAATCAACTGGATAATAGCTGCAGTTTTGCTTGGTTGGAAGCCATGAATATCGAACACTCCCACCAGCTTATTCGCAAAGGGACCGGTTTGTGGAAATAAAGATGCTGACTGGCGTGTGCGTTCATAACGAGCCATAAAGCTATCAATCTCTGCAAGCTCGACTCGTTAACTATTGATCTTGAATTGGCAGTCCTTTCGGCCAATAGGCATAAGAGTGCCGTCTAGATTATATCTTACAAGGTCGCCGGTTCTATAGAAAGGACCTCTACAATTTTGCCCAACAGCACTAAGCCAGGATGGTCGTTCGATAAAGGCTGCTGCTGTCTTTGCTTCGTCACCAAGGTATCCAAGCCCAACGAGAGGTCCTTCCAGCACCAACTCCCCTATTGTACTGACTAGGACGAGAGTTTTGCCCTCCGCAGTATCTGTGATCCAGGTTAAGCAACCAGCTCCGTGGCCGATAGTTGGCTCGCCCACATGACTGGGGGTGATGGCAGCAATAGTTGCGGTAGGTGTGCACAGACGTGAGCATATACAATCGGATACAATCCGAGGTACTAGATTAGGATTATATGATTAGTCACCCTAAAAGTATAGATTAAGCTTAGAATCTACGCTAAGGGATTAAGATTACTTATATTAGATTAACTTACTTATATAATAATTATCTAATTAGAAAGGAGATAGAGAAACTAAGAGATAAGTATATCTAAATATAGTTACTTATAGATAACTTTAAGTTTAAAACCGAGGAAATAGCTAAAATCCGAGCTTTTTTAATAGAATCACCCTCTACTAAGTTAAGTTAATTACTATATAGAATAGAAAAGTATATTATTAGCCTTACGACTTAGACTATAAGTTAATAAGTTCTTTTTCTATCTATAACTTTAAGTAGAGTACTAGCTAAACTATTATAGGATAAAGCTTTACTTAATAAGTAGTAATTATATTACTAGCCTTACTAAAGGTATATTTATACTTATAACTTAAGGCTAGAATACTTAGAACGTTAATTACTAGTTAACTTAGCTAAGGATAGTTATTCTAATAAGCTATCTAGAAGGTAATTAGTATATTAGTCTATTTACTATTATAGCTAATAGAAGGTTTATATTACTAGTAGATAAGCTTATCCTTAATAATCTTATACTATTCTTTCTCTAGTAAGTTAGAGTACTAAGAGATAAAGCTATTAATATCTATAATAATAATAATAATATTATATAACTAGGTAGAGTAGTACTCTATAGGCCTATGCCTTCTCTAGTCTAAGCCACTATATAAGAAGAAACCCCATAGGGAAAAACTTCCTTATATCTATAACTACATCTCGTTAAACCTCTATTTCGTCTTAAGTATATAGCTATAGGGTACGCCTATTAGCCTATAGCCTATATTACTATTATTTTACCCTTAGGTAGCACGTATAGATGCGGAGGTTATTAGTTAAGGGCTGCCCTTAACTAATAATTAGGGTTCTCCCGGGGTTCTTCCGGTATATATCGGGTTACTACCAGCGTATACCGGGTCTCTTCCAGTATATATTTCCGGGTCCACTAGTACTAGAGGAGTAGTAGATATATAAGTATCTATCGGGAGACGTCCTTAGGGTACTTATTAAGCTATTATACGATATCTAAAGTCTTTATAATATAGATAAGCTATTACCGTTATATATAGAGGTTAGGGTATATAGCTAGATAGTAGCGTATTATACCTCTCCGGCCATACGCCTTATACTATAGAGAGGTATTAGAAACGCCTCTCTTATAGATATAGTATAGGAGTCCTATAGCGCCTATTCGGGCTTAGATAAGTATAGATACTTAGGCTTTCGTTAGCCCTTTATATATCTATTTACTCGGTTCCTTCTATAGCCCTCGAATCTACTCTAGATATCTATTCTACTAGGAGGTCTAGTAGGCACGGAGTGCCTCTTTCTACTTATCTTAAGTCTATAACCGTATATTTTTTATAAGTTCTTAAAGGCTCTACTAGTCTAGGAGAGCGTCCGGGTTATCTCGGACTTCTTATACTACTTAGCTAGAGTCGGCTTCTATTAAGCACCTATACCGTATTCGATTCCGGCCTATATATAGGAGTGTGTAGTAATATATACTAATTTATACACGTAGTACGGCGAAAGTATATTCTACGTTTTCTATACATTCCTATACTTATTATTTAGTAAAGTATACTACCCTCTATGTCTAGTAGAAGTTATATATACTTATAACGTCTATCTCGCGTCGTAGTAGTACCGTATTAGTAGCTTTATATACGCCTAATATAAGACGGAGTATACGGTTCTATATAGATTTAAGCTTTATTCGCCTAGTCTATATAAGGGCTATATACTAGTACTCGTGTCCGTACATAAAGGCGGGTCGTGCTATAGATATATATAGCTGGCGTGCCTTATCCCGGGCGGTTCCCTATATAGAGGCTATAATCCGTTATATAGTGGCTTCTATCTAGAGGGCCCTAGAGACGGCGTATACTACTTATAGTCCCTATTTAAGCTTACTATCTAGTATGACTCTAAGCGCGCGCATGCTTTATACTAGTAGTTTATTAAATACGTCGATTCGGGGGCGTCGTTCGCCTTCCCTAGTTATCTATTTCCCTTAATAATTAATAAAGTATATAAGCTAGTATTTCTCCGGGGCGAACTTTACTCCGTAGCGTTTTACCTACTAGAGGCACCTCTTATAGTTCTATTCTAGTCATCTACACGTTCGGTTAGTATTATTATTAATAGCTAGGAGGTATATATTATTAGTATATCCGACTACCTCTATATACTTTATTTCTTAAAGAAGGTCTACTATAAAGAAGAGGAATAGAATCGGAGAGATAGTACTCCCTTATAGGATGCCGTATACCGTCTCTTTATATTCGCTCTAGTACCTAGAGATATATATCTAAGTTATTCTTCCTATAAGGAATAACTATATAAAGCGTGTAATCTATTCTAGTATTCGTCTTATCCGGAGGTTATAAATAAGTCTTATATAGTTTATCTTATTAAACGCTCCGGCCATATCGAGGGAGAGGAGCGATACTACCCGTCCCTATTTCTATACGGCCTAGACGACTTTAATAATATATTAGATAGCTATTATTAGGGAGCTATCTATCTTTACCTTCTAGTTCGGAGAGAGGAGATTATATTTCTATACCGTGGTACTTATCTTCTTTACTATCGTGGCCTCTAGTATCTTACCTAGGTAGAAGAGAAGGGCGATTAGTCTCTATCCCTTTAGGGAGTTAGGGCTCTTTCCTAGTTTCGGGAGTATAATAGTATAGGCGACTCGGAAGCTCTAGGGGTAGTACCCCTACGTGACGTATGCTTAGAATATACGAGTAATAAGTAGTAGGGTCGCTTTTATAGTACTTTTTAGACATCGATTTAGAATTCCATCTAGTCCGGGTGCTTTATTATTTAGGAGTATCTTAATAATATTAAGTATATCCTCCTCCGTAACTTCTTTAGGGATATCTACCGCGTATAGGTATTCGGCGCCGTGAACGTCTAATAGGTCTACTAGTTCCGGGAGAGGGAACATGGCCTCCCGTAGGGCCTTAGTTTTCTTAAGGCTCGTGGAGTATATTCTCCCCTAATATATTAGGGGAGACATAAGTGGCGGGGGTGTCGGAGTATCTACGCCCTTGGCCTATTTCGCTATACGCTATAGCCCTATTACGTATCGTATCTATTAACTAGTAACTATACGCTACTATTTATACCTTTCGTTATAGAGGACTTTATCGCGTTATTATATCGCTTCCTTCTATTCTTCCTACGACTCGGGTATTCTTATATAGTATACGTATATATATAGCCTTCGGGTATCTTATCTACTTTCCCGTACTCGAGGAATCCCCTTTACTTCCGGGGGCCGGTATATTTAGTATAGTACGTGTTTATTTCTCGTATTCTAATATATTTATAGGAGTGTCTATACGGCCTGGTCTATAGCTAGGTCGTTAGATATATCGACTATAGAGGGATCTAGAATCGCCGATTCTAGGTCCTTCAGGTACTTTTCCTAGTTAGTGTCCTTCTATATCTATCGTCCCCGTTATTTATTCGGGGTATATATATTTATTACGGTTTCTATATATTTATAGTCGGAATCCGTCTATACCTAGCCTAGGCGGTAGTATTAGATCTAGTAACTAATATACTCCGTGGCGAAGGTAAGGTTAAGCGTGGACCCGTCTTTATCCTATTTATGTTTTTTCTATATAACTTATTCTATAGGTATAAGTAGGTATAGGAAGTCGTGGTAGCGGGTACGTAGTTCCCTTACTCTAAGTTCTTCCCTAACTACGGCTAGGCCTCCCTACTATTAGTAGTAGAGGTTAAAGTCTCCTAGGAGGATGTATTACCCTAGTTCCGTAGTACCCTCGAGTATCTCGTCTAGTATAAGTACACGTTATTAGTTATATATATTATATATATATAGGGGGCCTATATCTATTTATAGGTGTAGTATTATTCTAAGGTTATCGCGCTCGGTATATAACCATAATAAGAGTGGTATTAACCTATAAATATGGAAGAGGACTCGTCTTTCTAGTTCTAGAGGGTATATAGTATAGTATCTAGGGTGTGTGGTTGGTTTACTTGTCTAGTAGTATTTATAGGGTTTCTAGATAGCGAGTATTATAGCCCTAGTCTCTTTAAGGAGCGTCGCCTAGTTCTCTCTTTTATATTATATATTTATCTATATAATTTAGAGTATATTCTAGTCCCTTATTAGATACTAGAGAGTATATATATCTATATGCTTATTCCTCGGAGGCGCGACTATCCTCGCGCGGTAGCGGCTTTAACTATGCCTTTTAGTCGTCCTATCGTCTTTAGGATAGTCTACTATCCCGCCTAACTACCTTCTAGAGGGGAGGTTAGAGGTATTATAAAGGAAGGGCTCGTGGTAGGTATTATATTCTATAACCATCTTACGCCTCTCGCTTTTATCGTGCGAATATATTCTATAATCTATTTACGTTTTATACACGTTAACGACTATAACGGGTGTTTCCTATCATAGTTTAAATACTATACTATATCCCTATTTCTTAGTCTATCTCCTCGCGGTTTATAAGGGCACTCCTAGGTAGCGTGGTCCCTACGGCACTATCCGCACTTAGTCTTCTATAAGTACCTTTATATAGTGTATCTATACCCTTAATAGTTAAAGTACTATATTATTACCTATACCCTATTCTATAGCTCGGCCATAAGGAGCTCTCCTTCTATTAGGAATCCCTTCTATATAATGCGTTATATAAGGGCGGGGTCTCGGAGCTCTATAATTATAGTAGAGTGTTTTTTCGCCGTTATCTTAATCGTCTATAGGTTCTTCTACCACGCTTTTACGATCTTAATCCCTAGGTATTTTCGCGTGTTAGATTATTCCATGCGCGTAATATCCTCCGCTCCGATAGCCTATCCCCGCACGGGTACTACGTATACTATAATCGGGTATATAGCTA